AAATTAGCTGCATCTTGAATTAGCGAAATTACAGATTAGCTAATATAGCTAAAATAACATGCTAGCTAAAAGACATGTTTTACAGTATTTCGCTATGAGCCCCATATCGAACAGGACGCAGCACGATAGTCGCTGCCCTGTACATTTTTTCTGATGATTGTGTTTTAATTTTAACTCGTTTTTCAGCTGCAAAGCAAGGTCTAAAGCAGTTCAACTTCATCTGTGTTGCCATTGACAAAAGAAATCGTGAAGTTGCACAGTTTGGTCAGGAAATTCTGGACTACCAATTAAAGATCAATCAAATGACAAAGGCTAACGAACGACTTACACATGAACGAGATCGGCTCAAGATGAGTTGCGATGATGGAAATATGAGGATGGATATTTTGAAAGTTAAACTGGTGAGTTCATTGGGTATATTTATTGTATCAATGTTGATCTCTGCTGCGTAAAAGCTGATCTAAAGAAGAAGTGTTGCTTCTTTTCAACTTGCTTGGAACAGGTGAAATTATGTTACATAGCTACAGTGAGTTTACTATCTGCATGACGACAAGCAAGGGATTATGGGAAATAATGTTCAGTCTGAACAGGTCTTATGACATCAATAATTTAAAAGCCGTTTTACACAAAGTATATTTTCACATTTTGTGTTAGTTCAGTGTCAATGTCAAGTTGTTTTCGTTTATGAAAACATCTAACCTGTGTTTACATTGTGTTATTTAATTTTTAGGAAGAGACAGAGAAAAAGAACAAAGAACTGCAAGCATACATTGCTGCTTTTGAAGATGGTAGTTTATTTAAAAGAGCCAGTGCGGTTTCCATTTCGCCAACACCGGAACCACCAGAAATAGGTGATTATCTTGAATACAATAAAGTGGAGATCATGAAACATTGACATTAGTCAAATACTGTAAAATACTTTATTTTAGCAGGAATTAGTTTTCGCTAAAAAGACATTTTTGTTTTCACTGATTTTGATGAATTGAATGTACTGGTAATATATATACATGTATATCGGAAAAAGGGTATTTTCACTGGATCTTATTAGTCCCGGTTCCGTGCGTCTGTGCGTCCGTGTATCCGTCCGGAGTCATATCTCAGAATCCCTCGGACCGATTCCGTTCATTCTTTGCATATGCCTAGTACTTTATGTGTGACATATGCACATCCAGTGGTTTAGCGATTCAATTCAAAATGGCAGCCCTCTTGTTTTTGACTCCCATGTGCGAAGCACAAAATGGGAGTCTTTGCAGTTAGTGTGTCTGTATGTGTGTGTGTATGTGTGTATGTGTGTATGTGTGTATGTGTGTATGTGTGTATGTGTGTGTGTGTGTATGTGTGTCCGACTGTTCCACTGCTATCTCAAGAACCATACATCGGTTTTTGATGAAACTTGGTGCATAGATGCTCTGGGCCAATGCGCAGATTTGATTAGGTTTTGGTAAAAATCCATGCTCGTTAATTACCTAATTTGCATGATAATTAGCTAATTTTTAGCTGTTCTATGACTGTTCCACTGATATCTAAAGAACCACTCATTGGATTTTGATGAAACTTGGTACATAGATGCTCTGAACATATGCGCAGATTTGATTAATTTTTGGTAAAAATCCGTGCATATTAATTACCTAATTTGCATGATAATTAGCTATTTTTTAGTGGTTCCATGACTGTTCCACTGATATCTAAACAACCACTCATTGGATTTTGATGAAACTTGGTACATAGATGCTCTGAACTAATGCTAGGTTTTGATTAGTTTTTGGTAATAATCCGTGGATACTAATTACCTAATTTGCATAATGATTAGTCAATCTTCGGTTTTTCCACTGATATCTCAAGTACTAATCATCACATTTCAATGAAACTTGGTACATAGATGTCATACGACACTGCACAGACCTGATAGTTTTTAAGGTAATATCAGTACATATTAATTACCTAATTTGCATAATTAATTAATTTTCAGCATTTGATATAAGTAGTTAGCATTACATTTCAATGAAACTTGGTACTTACATACTCAAGGACTATGCAGAGATTGATTGTTTTCGATAAATATTTGTGCATATTAATCACCTAATTTGCATAATTAGTTAATTTTCAGCTTTTCCACAGGTATCTCA